ATCAGGACAGTAAACAATGGAGAGCAACGTGGAAGGAAGCCAGGGCGTAGTCAGTGTGCTTTATAGTTTATCTCTATTATCTGCTCCATGTTTATAGAATGAAAACAGAGTTTTTTCTGCTTGTTAGAGCAGAAGCGACGGGTGTGGTGTGCTGACATCCGTATGTTGTGTTTAATGGTATCACGAAAATTAGCGCGTCGACCCGGCTATGGTGTTCCCACACCATGCCGATCAGAGCTGAGCTGATTTTAAAGAGGGTCGCTGCCGGTAGACATGCATCAGTGAGCTGTTCCCACTGCCACTAAAAGCCCATTGGTGTTAGATTTAAACGTGTTTTTCAGCCAGTGGTAAAAGGGTATAACATCTCATCTGTCTGAGGCAGACAAGTTGAACAGACACCCTGGAACAATCCACACACAGATAGGAGGCTGTAGGCCTGCACATCTATATGCCATAGATTTAGCCTGAGCTATCCAGTCCGCTGGTGTTTGGAGTGAGACAGGTTGGCCCTTATGAACAGAGGCCCAAACACACAAACAGATGGTCAGCTCTTTGAAAACAAGCTGCCTGTCCCCATGGAGCCTTCAACGGACATTAGCAAATAGCCTCTACTCCTCTGTGTAACTGAATGGTGGTGGAGGAAATACTAGCAGCACCACCGTCAAACATCTGCGTGACGACTCCAGCATTTTGGGCATATAAGCGCAGGTTGGAGAGCCCAGGGGCCCACTGTAAACAAATAATACCTTTCAGGTTCACAGTCAGGGAAAGACTGGATGCTATCATTCCTATTGATAGCATCATTGATAGCCTGTCCCACAGGCTGAGAGTGACATGTCAGGGACACTCTCAGCCTGCGGGACAGATGATGCAATTATGTGACCCCCTGATGAAAACACCTCATCATCAGTAGCCCCAGAAGGAAAACAGGGAGGTCCAACACCACAAGGCTAAGGAGCAAACAAAGTCATAATTAAAACAAATCAAAACTGCGCCAAGAATCAAGCGTAGGACAGAATCCTGTCCTCTGAGAACCAGACGTCTCTGATCCATTGTATATTGAACTCATGGTTGCACGATTAGTTGCAAAAATCAGGACTAAGTTAATTAGTTGCCTATTTGCCTAAATATTCTGAGGACAGGTGGAACTTCCGGCTGTGCCTTGATGAGGAAACCTGAGAAACTTTCAGCGAGGGACATAAATACTGATAGATGGACAGCTATAAACCAATCTCCTGGATGGATGGAACGGTACAGAGCCTTGTGTGTTAGCATTCTGGATGCATACCTGTGGGACTGTCTGTTTGACTCATGCAGGCCCACTATGGACCCCAGTGATACAGCGTCTCTCTTTGGAACGAGAACATAGCTTGAATAGAAGCTCTAATGAACGCTAAATTCTTCGTTGTCTATAAGGGATGTAGTTTCTTCCTTCAGGACGTGTTTTATAATGAAAAGAACGCTCCTTTAAAGGTCATAAGGCATATCAGTCTGTACTTGTTGGAAACTCTGCCTGAGTGGCAATGATCTGCCTGAACACAGAGGGTCTATATTGCTGCTGAGTGACATGGCCCTCTATGCCAGGCTGAGCCCCTTCTAAAGAGCACTGGCTCCCTCTGCTGGTGGCTGAGGATAATAAATAATAATAGTGGAATGACAATAAAATGCTGGGGGGAAAAAAGACCTGTTTTCTCTGCCTGACCTGGTTGACGTGGATTACTCCTTCTTACCTCTAGGTGGAGACAAACCGATGTCAGGAACTTGTAGGTGTTGTCTCTGGACAGGAAGGACACAAACACGTACTGTGACGACAAAAAAAGGGAAATCGTCTTTAGGAGGTTTCTAGTCTTTGATCAACATCAATCAGTTATCTTTGATGTCTCACTCTGTCACTTCCGGTAGCGATCACCAGAGCGTTTGGCAACAGGATGGCAGTCTTGGTCTTCTTAATGCTGGTGATAGAAGTCACAGGGATGGCAATCTGAGATCAACAACAAGAGGCAGTCCAAGTCAAACATCAAACCTTCCATCTTTACTCACCTCACTGTTTAATGCCTCTTAGGAAGTTTCACTTTGTCAACATTAAAAAAAGACCCTTAAACAGAGACTAGTTCATCCTAAATACCTAATCTGAGCAGAGTGGTGCATGCAGGTCAATGCAGAGAGGAATGCTCTGATCTTTATATTGGAGAAACCAAACAACCTCTCCACAGACGCATGGCCCAACACAGAAGAGCGCCCTCCTCTGGACAACACTCTGTGCTACATCTACACCTGATGGACAAAGGACATTCTTTGGAGGACTAGAATGTTCACATTTTGGACAAAGAAGACAGACGGTTTGAGAGGAAGGAGGCCATCTATGATAAGAAAGAAATAACAACCTTAAACACAGGTGGGGGGCTCAGATTTCTGCTTTAAAAAACCTACAATTCAGCGATTAAATTGATTCCTTCACACTATCATTGCAACCCCAGAAGACCTCACCTATTCAGCCAGGCCAACAATTCCCTTTAACGGCCCCCCTTTCAGAGACTATATGGGGCATTGCAGGCTAACAGAAGAAGCCAAACGACCCCCATTCCAAAGGGGGGGACCCGTTCAT